TGGATTTAGCACAGAGAATCCTAAAATGTCTGAAAAGGAAAAGGAAAGTTGGAAATTAACCAGTTGGGTGAGCTGGAGTCTGCTGCTGGCTGCAGCCTGCACTCCCAATTGCACATTTGGCTGGAGCACACCCAGCGAGGTACGGCAGAGCCAACACCAGCCACCAGCCTCTCCTCCAGGGGCTCGGAGAACCCCTATCCCACCTAGGAGACTTTCCTGACACACCTTTGTTCTTCTGCCCTCACAGTGACCTCAAGGCCTCGCAGACGAGAAGCATTTTTTCTTCTCCTATACACTTTCAGCTTCTCTTAAACTAATAAGAGGGCTTTATTTTAAAGATGCAAGTTGAGGCCCTGAGAAGTTAGGAAACTGACTCCAGGTTCCAAAGCTATAGTTAATGGATCAACCAGGATTAAAACCCAGGGTTCCTGAAGCCCAGTCCTGTGTGGCCCCGTCATGTCACTGCCTTCCACCCAGCCTGGGTCCACAAGGAGCAGCCCTGGTCTGTCCTGGAGGGGTCAGGCTTGGGTAGCCCATCCATGGGGGAATTCCTTCCTAGTAGTTCTTGGGCTATTGATGTGTTTTTCTAAATCCCCAGGAAAATCTGTTAAGAAATTAGGAAAACTGGAAAAATTATTCTGATTCTCCTGCAAGAACTAAAACGTAGCTGTCAATATAAAGATGTTACTGATTTGAAGAGCTCCACTGACATCAGGTCAAAAGCAGGAGCAGGGAATGTGAACACAAACAGTCGAAGGTTAAGGTTGACCAGAATCTCAGGGAACGGGAACAGGAGCACAGAGGGAAGAAGAGGTCACAATCTAATCAGTCAGTTTGGCTTGTAGCTGTTGCTATGTTATAAGTGAACATTTACAGTGCTGGCTGGTGCTAACAGTGAGTCATCTTGCAAATAAAATAAATGTTAGTACATTTATATACACAGAATACCTTAAACAAGTCCTATGAGTGGTATCCCAAGAAATAACAAGTTTGGGAAGCAATATGAGTTTTTAAATTGGCAATTGAGAGACATGGTTCTGCATAGTGTTGAGAGATTTGAGTGTTATGTTGTTTGAATACTACCCAATAGTGTTTGCTGGCATTTTACAGCATTTGAATATTTGCTATAGGCAAAATAAGTTCTTTGTAAATACTTCCAAACTTGATATTTCTTACTCACTACGGGCATACTTTGTTTTATTGTGCTTTGCTTTATTGAGCTTCTCAGATACTGCATGTTTTACAAATTGAAGGTTTCTGGCAACCCTGCGTGGAGCAAGTCTACCAGCATCATTTTTCCAACAGCATTTGCTCACTTCCTGCCTCTGTGTCATATTTTGCTAATCTCACAATATTTCAGACTTTTCATTATTATTATATTTGTTATGGTGATCTGTGACAAGTGATCTTTGATGTTACTATTGCAAAAATATTATGACTCACTGAAGATTTAGATGATGGTTAGCATTTTTTATTAATAGAGTATTTTTGAATTAAGGTATGTATATTGTTTTTTAGACAATAAGGTTTTGCACACTTAATAGACTACAGTATAGTGTAAACATAACTTTTTTTTTTTTTTTTTGCGGTACGCGGGCCTCTCACTGTTGTGGCCTCTCCCGTTGCGGAGCACAGGCTCCGGACGCGCAGGCTCAGCGGTCATGGCTCACGGGCCTAGCCACTCCGTGGCATGTGGGATCTTCCCGGACTGGGGTACGAACCCATGTCCCCTGCATCGGCAGGCGGACTCTCAACCACTGTGCCACCAGGGAAGCCCTAAACATAACTTTTATATGTACTGGGAAACCAAAAAATTCATGTGGCTCACTTTATTATGCTCTTCCCTTCATTGTGGTGGTCTGGAACTGAACCCACCGTATCTCCAAGTTATGCCTGTAAAATAAATTTTTTAGATATCCATAATACTGTGAGTAAAGAATACAAAAAATGTGGGAAGTATTTTAAAGATAAAAACAAGTTATACTTTCAGGAATTCCTGACAATTCCTGGGAATTTTGATCTTTCATTCCTGAATCCCAAAGATTACAATCTAATCCAACAAACTGTGGAACTATAAGAATATTCCCTTGGCATATAAACATTTATATTTTATAAAATTATCTTCACATGATGCCACATGGTGCCAAAAGTAGGGTACAGAAATGAAAATAAACCATTTAGTTAGAAAAGAAGCTTAGGTATATTGCTTTTTAGATTCCATATCTAGATATTCAGTTTGACCAATCACTCTTCTGGCTCACAGTTTTACAAATCTTGAGAAGGATAACAAAGCAGAGGCCTTCAGAAAAAAAACAAATCCACATTAAGAGCAAGATTATGAATTCCCTTTATTTTTCATGAAAGTTCTCTAATGAGTAATAAAAGACTAAAAAACAATAAACAAAAGAACAGGTTAATATTTCAGGAATAGCTTAATATGTAATGAGGTTAATATCTTTAATATATAATGAGTTTTCACAAATCAATAAGAAAAAGCAATAACTTTAATTTTAAAGAGAAGGCAAAAAATATACAGGCAGTTTGTGAAGGAAGAAACACAAATGTACAACAAAGGCAAGTTCAACACAACTAAGGAGTTAATAAAAGCTAAAACAATATACTATTTTTTAACATATCAGATTAGTAAAAGTTTTAAATATGATAATACTCCATATTGGTAAAGGTATGGGAAAAACAGGCACTCTAACACATAATACGAGGATTTTTTAAATTTCCTTTTTCATTTCTTCATTTATGCATTGATTGTTTAGTTGCCTGTTGTTTAGCCTCCACATATTTGTATTTTTTCCAATTTTGTCCCTGTAATTTATTTCTAGTTCTATACCATTGTAATCAGAAAAGATATTTGATATTATTTCAGTCTTCTTAAATTTGTTGAGACTTGTTCTGTGGCCTAACATGTGATCTATCCTGGAAAATGTTCCATGTGCACTTGAAAAGAATGTGTATTCTGTTGTAGTTTGATAAAATGTTCTGTATGTATCTATTGAGCTCATTAGTATAATGTGTCATTGAAGGCCAGTGTTTCCTTTTTGCTTCTGTCCAGATGATCTATCCATTGATTGATCTTAACAATTTTGTGGGGGGGCAACAAAAGCAAAAGTAAACAAGTGGGGCTACATCACACTAAAAAGCTTTTGCACAGTGAAGGAAACCAGCAACAAAATGAAAAAGCAACCTACTGAATGGGAGAAAATATTTGCAAACTATATATGCAATAAGGAGTGGATATCCAAAATATATGAAGAACTTATACAACTCAATATCAAAAAAAAACCAAACAACCCAATTAAAAATGGGCAAAGGATCTGAATAGACATTTTTAAACAAGACATACAGATAACCAATGGACACATAAAAAGATGTTCAACATCACTGATCATCAGGGAAATATAAATCAAAATCATGGTGAGATACCACCTTACACCTGTTAGAATAGGTATTATCAAAAAGACAAAAAATAAGTGTTGGTGAGGATATGGAGAAAAGGGAACCCTTATATACTATTGGTGGGAATGTAAATTGGTATAGCCACAATGGAAAACAGTACAGAGCTTTCTCAAAAATTAAAAAACTGGAACTACCATATATGGTCCAGCGATTCCACTTCTGGGTGTTTATCTGAAGAAAACGGAAATACTAATTCAAAATGATATATGTACTCCAATGTTCACTGAAGCACTATTTACAATAGCCAAGATATGGAAGCAGCCTAAGTGCCCATCGATAGATGAATGGATAAGGAAGATGTTTATATATATATATATATAAAATATATATATATTACTATATATATAAATACTATATATATAGTATTCTATATACTATACATACTATACTATTTATAGAGTATAATATATACTATATATTATTATATATAAATATATATAATATAAATAATATAAATATATATATTACTCAACCATAAAAATGAATTAAATCTTGCCATTTGCTACAACATGGGTGGACCTAGAGGGTATTATGCTTAGTGAAATAAGTCAGAGAAAGACAAATACCATATGATTTAACTTACATGTGGAATCTAAAAGACAAAACAAATGAAACAAAACAGATTCATAGATAACAGAGAACAAACTGGTGGTTGCCATAGAAGAGGTGGTTGGGGAGTTAGGCAAAACCAGTGAAGTGCATTAAGAGGTACAAACTTCTAGCTGTAAGGTAAATAAGTCACGGGGATGTCATGTACAGTATAGAGAATACAGTCAATAGTATTGTAGTAACTCTGTATGGTGACAGATTGCAACTAGACTTATCATGTTGATCATTTCATAATGTATAAAAATATTGAATCAGTGTCGTACACCTGAAACTAATATAATATTGTAGGGCAATTATAATTCAATAAAAGAAGGAGTGATAACCATGTTTCTGAGCAAAATTAGCCTAATACATCAAAATCTTTAAAAATTGCATTCCTTTTTTCCCAGAATTTTTTATTTAAAAATTTTCCTAAGGAAACAATTGGACAAGAAGACAAAGAAGTATCTACAGAATGTTCCTTATGGCCCTGTTTGTAATACCAAGACTTTAGAAACAGCCTTAATACCTAATAATAATAAACTGGTTAAATGAATCATGGTAATCCATAAAACAGAACGCCTAGGAGAGAAGTGTACAAATAGTACATTAAATACTAATAGCACAATAAGGATATTATGATCCCATTTCTGTAAATAAAAAGTGTGGTTATGGGTATATAGATGCAACAAATACCTCTGGAAATAAGTTTATATACTAAGAAATGTTTGTTGAATGAATGAGCCAATAAATATGTTAGCAGTGGTTACCTCCAGGTATCAGTATTATGGGTAATTGTGTGTGTTCTGCTGATTTACATGTTAAATTTTCCTAAAAATTAAGTGGATTCATTTTATTTAATTTTAAGGAAATGTTTTTTTTAATGTAAAGCACTGAGAGGAACTAAATGAATTCAGAGCTCTGGCTTTCTTCTATTATAGGTGAAAGAATGCAGAGAGATAAATGTGCCTGGAGTCTTAAGAAAACTGATGATTGATCTACTAAATGGATGAAAGAATTTATTCACATAAAAATCCTGCCTTTGAAACTAAGGTCAGTCAAAACTCTAGATTCTGAATATATGCAGGTTATGCAAGTAAAACCTGCCTGAAGGTAGCTTTGGTTTGACACACCCAATTTTAAGAAACATCATTTTGTACTGAAGACAAAGTTTGCCTTTTTGATATCATTCCTCCTTTTTTTTCAACCTACACTGGCTTTCTCAGTCATGTTTGAACCTCTCTCCCTTCACCTACATGGCAAAATGCCAAAGTCCTAGATTCTACTCAAAAGGAAGATTTTACTGACTTGGAGTACAAGTTTTCTTAAAGCAATATAGATCCTCCACATTCACCCTCAGATTGTATGAAAATAGGAAAAACTGTATGAAACCAAAAATCCAGAACATGTGTCAGAAATCAGATCCCATCTTAACAAATATCATCATTAACTGAAGTCTGGATAACTAACAGGCTTCTTCCCTATGGTTAGAGCAAAGTTAATTATGCATAGTGTGTAGAATTGTACAGAGCACCAAGAATACAGAAATGAACAAGAAACAACCTTCAAATTCAAGAAAACCATAGTCCTGTGGTAAAATTTGAACAGAGCCCCTCAGGAGCAACCAGTTCTTTCTGGGGCATAGAAAAGGTGGAGAAGATCTTTGAGACAGAATTTAGAAAGTGAATATGCATTCCCCAAGTGTAAAAAGACCAGAAGGGCATTTCAGGCAGAGAGGACAGCAGGCACAAAGGCAAAGAGGCAGAAGAGCACCTGCAATAATAGGTGTGGCACGGTTCTAGCTCAGCACAAGAATTTGAAAATGATGGCAGAAAACACATTTGGCCTGAATGATAAATTAACAGTTACCTAGATAGTTCAGTTTGTAGGTGACTGAGTTTCACAGACGTAAAGACCTCTCTATTTAAGTGATTGGTTATTGTCTTTAAACTAGCTCTTTGTTCAGCTATAGTGGTAACTGCCTTCATTCTAAAATGGAATCTTTTTTTCCTTGCCAAGAAAGGAGTCATTTCACTTTGCTTCTCTTCCCTTTCTTTCCATTTATGTTTTGCAGGCACATGGACACACCCTTTAAGCCAGGATTTCAATGAAAAAACCTAGCCAATCCAGTTTTAACATTGTCATTGGTGGTGTTAACATGGAGACAGTCGCCTTCTTGTTGCTCAATAGGGTGAGACTTTGCAAAAGGCTTGGGCATGTACAACGTGTCTAGCTTCAGCCACCTCCTTCTCCTCCATTGCCAAAGAAGCAGAAGCCAAGGAACCATCTCCTTATTGTTCTCTTGCATAAATGGGCCGACTGCCCATTGGGGGAGGGTGGCGCCTAGACATTTACGTGACCTGCTGTGGAAGGGTGGGGTTACTGTCTCAAAGTCCCTGCTCTTAAAAACTAGGGAAAGAAGGCCCTTCTAAGTAAAAGGAAAAGAAAAATAATTGACCTGTAAGCCTGCAGGCTGCTACTAATGGGAAAGAATGCTAGAGCACTTCACTGCTAGCAAGGACAGCTGAAGAAAATGCAGTCCAGGCCCATAAGAAACATGAAGATTGCCAGCCCCTCGCCTTGCTGTTCAGCATCAGAAGACCACCTTAGTTTTTTTTTTGTTTTTTTTTTTTGGTTTTTTTTCACCAGACACACACAATTGAGCTCTTTTGAATCTGGCATCACAGATGTTGAGACATATTTTTGCAGAGCAGTTTGTGATGACATTGATGAGCTATATTGCCTCACAGTGATCTCTCAAGGTGAGCGAAGGCAATCCAACAGATGTGGAAACTAAAGTGTTGGGAGCCCTGGCACAAGCCCCAACAGGTAGAAGCCCAAGAAGGGGAGTGACAAACCAACAAACTGTTCAAACCAACAAATGTAACTCCTGACTGGGGTGTATTTGTTTTTGAGTGAGAGAGGAAAAGTATATTTAGGGAGACAAGTTGGATAAAAATAAGCATTGAGGGAAAGATATAGGAGGCAAATCTAAATCAAACCTATCTTTAATATGCAGCCAACTCAAAGCACGAAAAAGCGTATTCTAGAAATATTACAAATATTCCTATATATTTTCTTTTCCTATAAATAGTTTCCTATTCCACTAATGAGGAAGCTGCTTCCATCCAAACTGAGAGGAAAAGATAATTTCAAAGATATTAGACATGCAGGCTAAATTCAGTCCCAGCCAAAGAAACAGCAGAAGTTCAAATTCAGACTGATATGTACCTAATGGCTGCAGGGATGACCCATATATTGCCCAGGTGGGTTTGAATGTTGCATTTCTGTCAGTGGCCTGATATCAGAGGACTTCTGTATAACCCCTTGGCTCAGAGAGCCTAACTACAAAATGTACTCTCTCTTTTTTTTTTTAAAATTTATTTATTTATTATTTATTTTTGGCTGCATGGGGTCTTTGTTGCTGCGCACGGGTTTTCTCTAGTTGCAGCTGGCGGGTGCTACTCTTCGTTGCGGTACACAGGCTTCTCATTGCGGTGGCTTCTCTTGTTGCGGAGCCCGGGCTCTAGGCACGCAGGCTTCAGTAGTTGTGGCTCGTGGGCTCTAGAGCACAGGCTCAGTAGTTGTGGCGCATGGGCTTAGTTGCTCTGTGGCATGTGGGATCTTCCCGGACCAGGGCTCGAACCCGTGTGCCCTGCATTGGCAGGTGGATTCTTAACCACTGCACCACCAGGGAAGTCCCCAAAATGTACTCTCTTTAAAGCATTGTGTCACATTACTACCATACAAGATTCTGGGTAAAGATGTATTTTCCACCCAAAACTTTTAAATTTTTATTAAACTCCTCCAGCAAGATAACTGTTTTTAAACAAATTACTTTCAGAGGTGGTGTAAGCAAATCTGTGAGACAAAGGTTAAGATAAGATGTGCCATGTCACGTGTTTTTTGTAAGGACATTTTTAACAGCAATGTTTTTCCCTCTTTAAAATCTTGATTCAATCCTATTTGCCATCAGTGAGGTATAAAGAGGCTGCATAGCATTGGAGAGAGAACATTGACGACCTTGTCAAAAAGGAGGTCATATCTCACCATGCTAACTGCAGTAAAGAATAAATTTCAGGTTCTGGGATTCTGCTTTTCAGATCTTAGCTCATGTTGTCTCTATTGTGAATGTAGCCTACTCAAAGCCATATTCTTTTTTTAGCCTTATTAAGTTTTTCATGTGCCTGGGGCATTGGAAGCATGGTCTCAGAACCGAGGCCGACCTGAAATTGGATCCCAGCTCCCAGCTTACAAGCTGGAGACCTTGAGCTTTCCTCTGTTTTTCTGTTTGTTCAGAGCTTTTCTATCTTGATCTGTTAAAAATGACATAAGATAATTATGAAGGCAAACCGAAGAACTATGTTAAAGCAAATAGTGAGTGGTAAGTGGCACCATGAGCCAATCAGTTGCTAAAAAAGAAACTTGGGCACCATCCTTGACTTGCCCTCTCTCCAGTCCTGTCAATCCCTTCCTCTCCACTCTCACTCCCATCGCTTCATCCCAGGCCATTAGGCTCCCATCTCGAGTCTCACCCCCTTCCTAATGCATTCTCTGTGCTGCCACCATATTGTTCTTTCTCAACCACAAATGTGATCCTGTTGTCGCCCACTCTGACTCCTTCAGTATCACCCACTGCACTCAGGATAAAGTCAAGCAACTCATCACCTGGCTCCAGTACATCTACCTCTCCAGTCTCATCTCTGGCTCTATCATCCCCTATCCCTATCCCTTCTTATCCCTCCCATAACTCTCTCTGCTCCAACCATACTGGACTATTTACAGTAGTTAATATTAGAATTATCTACGATTTTGTTTAAGTGCCACCTCTTCTTGGAAACCTTCCCTGACTCATCCCCTACCCCATCCAGTATGGGTTGAAAGCCCTTCCCAGAGCCCCATGCTCCCCTCAATTATAGCACATATTTCTCTGGGTAGTCTTTTTTGTCTTTGTAATCCCAACACCTAGCACAGTGCTTGGCATGTAGGATGCACTTCATGGTTGTGAATGAATAAATGAATGAACTCATACACTTAGCACAGGGTCAAATGCATAACAAGCATTCAGTGAGTCTGCTTTCCTTTCCTTCTTTCTCGAATAAGGTCCAGAATCAAAGGATTTCTGAAATGGTGACTGTTCTGCAGGAACTACTGTGAAGTTTTGTCCTCCTTTTATTCATCTCAAGACATAACTATCTACTTTTTATCCCTCTCCTTCCCATCTCTCTAAACACACACACACACACACACACACACACACACACCACATCCCACAGAGGCATCTCTTAGCATCTCAGAGAGGTCCCTTAAACCGGCTTTCCCTTCCATGGAACCTCTAGACACTGGACCCTTGGAATTCCCCGAGAGTCACTTGGGGAGCTTGTGAAAATACAGACGCCTGTGCCCCACCCTCCAAGCAAGTCTGGGGTGGATCACAGTGATTATAATTTTCAAAGCTGCCCCCACAGTAATCCAGAAGATCTGCCAAAGTTAGGAACTACTGCCCACAGGTCAAACTTATGGTTTCAGACTCTAAAAGGAAACCCCACTCAGTGTATGTCTCCATCCCCCGGTGCCACTTGGCAGTAAGTCAGGCATGCCTGCTGCTGCCAAGAGAGGAAACAAAAAGGAAATGTGTATTTTTACTCATGTGCTCATTTATACCTTGTGTTGTTCCAAAACAGTTTGGGGTGCCCCGGGACAATAAAAAAATAGGAAATTATGGAACCTCACAAAGTTTATATCCATCAAATGGCCAGTACTTCCTAATGTAAAGAATTTGCTTCCTGTGACTTTGAACAAGATCCTTCTGCAATATCACATCTTTCTTTCCTGACATCATTCTTCACGAAGTTGTACAACTCTGGGACCATGATGCCTCCAAGGAAACTCAGCAGTTTCTTGTGCTGTCAGTTTGTATGTCTATGGCAGAGAAATGGGCTTCTTAGTTCTTACTTCTTCACCTTGATGCTGCCAACTTCATTTTGCAAATGTAATTTCCGCAATCCAGTAGGAAGGTCTTCACCATGGCACCCTGAACCCAGAGCCTATGACACTGACCAGGACTGACAGGATCCTGGATCCTGTCCTTGCCTCCTTCCCAAAATTCCCAAGTCCATGGGGATTTTGGATGGTTTTTCTGGCAGAGTGACCAGGAATACTAGTCAAAATAGGTTAAAAAACTTTGCCCTCTAGGAGCTTCATCCTAGTGAGACAAACAATAAACAAAATGCGAAAGTAAATTATATAGTAGGTAAGAATACACACTGTAGAATTCATAGAACTGGGTAAGGGGCATCAGGAGCGAGGGAATAGGATGGGACTGGGGAGCTGGGTGCAGTTTAAATAGAATGGTCAGGGTACAGCTCACTGGAACCAGGTGAGAGAATAATGTGAATGGAACAAAGTGAAAGAGACAATAGCAACCAGATTACGCAGGGTCTTGGAGGCCAATGACAGGCCTAGGATATTGTTTTTTACAAAACACATTCTCATACATTTAATATTTTCAACCTTGTAAAATAAGTTCCATAGTAAAAATAATAGAGACTTACAGATCATTCAAAACTCACTTTTAGCCAATACTGTCAATATGTTTCCATGAAAATTGTATCAGCATATAAATAATGCTGATAGGTATGATTTGATTTTCATCTCTTTTCCCTTTCCACCCCTTCTTCAAGGCCCTGAATAATCCACCCATAGAACATCCACCCATGTTGCTGAGGTTTCACTACAATCCTGAAGAATTGACTTCAATTCTGGGGTCATGCAGAGATGAAATTTCATGGGGGGAAAGTTTGATCATTTAAAAAATCAGCTTTTCCATGTGTAGCCTTTTAGTTTGCTACAGAAGAATAATCCCTCCAGGGAAACAGGAAGCCCAAACTAGGAGCAGCCGTTAAAAACACTTGACAACTTGTAGAAACCAAGGAGCTATAAAGCCAGAGCCCACAGCCAATCCTTCAGCAAATCTCATCAGCATCTCTCTCAAATATATCCCCAATCTAAATGCTTCACCCCACCACCACCCGCCCAACACTGCCACTCAGTCCTTCAGTCCTCACCTTGACTACAACAGCTCCTAAGTGGTATCTTACCATGCTGACCTCATTCCCTCCCTCCTGGAGAGGAGGAAACTAGATGAGCATGGTGCTAGAGAAGATTGGCAGGACCAGCTGGTCTTGGATGGCCCTTGAAAGCCACATGAGGAGTTTGGATTTTTTTCTGAGTGAGATGGGAAACCACTCAGAAAACTGGAAACTGTGGAGTTGTGATCTGGGGAATAACGTGATTCGATTTAAGTTTCTTTTAAAAAGCACTCTGGTTGCTGCTTGGGGAATTGACTGCAGTAGGAGCCGAAGCAGGGACACCAGCCAGGAGGCTGCTATAGCAGAAGAAGTGAAGTAAGACCTTGAGGCTCTCTTGTTTTTCCTTGAAAACGCCAATCTACTTCCTACCCCTTTGCTCTCCCTGTACCCTTGGTCTTGAATACTGTTTCCCAGATCATCAAATACCTCATTTCTCTCCATTTATTCCTGCCTTAACTTAGATGTCACCTCCACAGAGGCTTTCACTGACCACTGTATCAAAGACAACTTCCATCTCTGCTGATCATTCTCCATCCTCTCACCTTTTTTCCTCCTACTATTTATTATTACCTAATATTTTACACAGTATATATCTTTGGTTGTTGTTTAGTCTTATCTCTTCCACAAGAGTTTACATTCTATGGGAGCAGGGACCTTGTCTCTCTTCTTTGCCTGGCACAAATAAAAGTAAGTGAGACTCAATAAATATTTGCTGCATGCATGGGTGG